AGTTGTCCACAAAGTCCTGCATGCAAAGCCCCATGAACTCATGCTTGGGTTTGAAGGACAGAAAGGCCCCGTTCAGTACATCCTGAGACTCGACACCAAGTGCATTGGTGAGGTTCTTCAAGTTCCTAAGCACAATGAAGTCTGTGTCCAGGTAGATGCCACCAAATTTCCACATGATGGTAATTCTGCAGGCGTCAGACAGGACGGGTAAGAAATAAGGTTCCTTCTGGTGCTCAGACTGCATGTACCACTTTGCCAGAGGCGTCCCTGAGAAAAGCTCCGGCAAGTCCAGGGGCTGGAATTCCACGTTGGGGAAGGAGCTCAGAAACAAGAAGGGCCAGTTGTTGGGTAACGAGGCGTTACCGTTTGCCAAGCCTTTCATGAGCACCACGACCCTTGTCCCAGGGTGTGTCCGGGCCGCTGACTCCACAGAGCACGTGAACAGGTAACTTGGGTTAGTTCGCTCTGAGGTCTCCACAAAAAACACATCCCCCGGGGAAGGAGAGGGCCCACCGGCAGTGGGACGGGGAAGGCAAGGCTTAAACTGAGCACACCCGCTTTGTGTAGGCAAGCTGTAGAGCTGGCCCTCAGCATCCTCCCCAGTTCTCCAGTAGAACATGACAGAGGCAAAGAACACAAATGAAGTGGCGAGGATAAACAGAGCCCTGCGCCTGTGGCTCTGCAGCACTGTGGTCAGTTTTGGCAAGCAGTTGGACATCCTGGGCAGTCGTGCTCCAATCAGAGCCTGCTCTCCCAAGACAACCGTCGTGATCTGAAGGAGAGGAAAGAAGAAAAAGACACTGACAGGCAAGGCAACAGACCACGAACCTTTGGACAGTGCCACAGCAGAGCAGAACTTTCCTTCCTGCACCTCAGGGCAGCATCCTTAAACTATGCCTTTTGGTCACTTCTGAAACAGTCTCCCGGCTCCTCCATATTGTCACAGGGCCTTCAGGTCAATGCACAACTGAGGGGGAAGCAGCAAGGAGGACTGTGGCATTTCTCCTGCCTCCCTCTGCTCCATCTCCAAATCCCCATGCTCCGGAGCAGAGAGCTTCAGGAAACAGCAAAAGCTTTAATCAAACAGCTGTAACCAAACAGACAGGGAACAGGACAGAGAACCCAGCTTGCACGATCCCATTTGTCATTCACCCCTGGTTACTGCAACTGGGTCACATACTAAACTCTCCATGTAGCCAGAAAATGACTTGTCAGCCACACTGGCAGGTTTCCAAATGCAATAGCACGGAGCCACCGCTCTCCACTAGGCACTGGGGCTTGGGGGACAGAGGAGAGGCAGCCGATACACAAATCATCAGCTCTGGATTCCCAGAACATTTTCTTCTGCTGCAGAGAAATGCCAGCATGTGCTGTGGCTGTTACATGCAGCGGAAAAAACCCACTCTGCTTTTTACATACCTATTTCCCCCTCCCTCCACACCACAGCCGGTTGAATCCTGTAAAACATCTTTAGCTTGGTAAACTGTAAAAGAGAAAGCAGGTACAGG